TACCCGTCTACATCATACAGGGGATGTAATACATCATTATTTACTTACCCGTCTACATCATACAGGGGATGTAATACATCATTATTTACTTACCCGTCTACATCATACAGGGGATGTAATACATCATTATTTACTTACCTGTCTACATCATACAGGAAAAGTAAGTCATCGTCATCAGTATTTTCTGTCTGCCCAGCTCCTGCAGTGCTAGAGAACAGAAATGTATAAAAGTTACAAATCACGTATATAATAACAGTATAAAACTTCCTTCATCACATCTTTATTAAACTCTATATAAGAACTAGATAGTGTTTCAAAAGTTGATAAAACCAAAATTAATATTTTTTAGTTCTTGCTTTTGAAGTTCATATGTCATGCTGCGTTGTAGCCAACAGAGTTCATAATTCTTCTCGTGATTCATGGCACGTACACGTTTTACTGATGTCACAACAGTACAAATTGCTACGTTAAGCGTCCCTCGTGCGATGTCATTTTAGTGTCTACTGACTAACTGACAAAGAGTACACTACTGTATAGTGGTGCAAGTGGCTAAAACAGGTGACCCCTCCTCCAAGGCTACCTTCGGCCCTTTTAGGGGAAGTTAAGTTATTACACACACTCAGCTTTTTACATTTCTTGGTGAACAGTAACATACAAAAGTTAAATAAAATTAAATCAATTATTCTAAGATAATATTCCACTAATATTGTAAGAATTAATAATTAAACTTATACAGTATATCATAATAGTCTACTACACAGCGTTAAAACCACTAATGTACACAATATTTATTTTCATATTACAATTAGAGCTGGAAAATTGACTCAACTATCTATGAATATTGATTAGCATCATGTTAAGTATTTGAAACAATATTGACATTTTCATCTCTGCACAGCTTCAAGGAGTTTCCTGTAAACAAGGACTTTCTTAGAATTTTTCTGCACATAGTCTACCTTTATTTTTACAAAGAAACTATCACTCGTTCGGAATATTTTATCCATTTCTTGATTTTTAAGCATTTTTCTTGTCTTTTTTTCTGCCCACATCACTTTCACGATGACACATCAAATGGTTTGATCACTTACTGATGAAACACAGCTATAAAGAAAGTTTAAAGATGATTGGATAGAAAAAAAATTGGACTTTTCATGTCGCAGTAGAGTAAACAAAGTGGCATGAGAATTAGTTTAAGGTTTTGTGGAAATCTTTTCAGATGCAGCTGTAGCATTGACCGAAAACAATCAATAGGAAGTTTTGTTTGTTTTTTTAAGTTTGTGCAAAGCTACACGAGGGCTATCTGCGCTAGCCGTCTCTAATTTAGTAGCGCAAGACTAGAGGGAAGTCAGCTAGTCATCACCACCCACCGCCAACTCTTGGGCTACTCTTTTACCAAGGAATAGTGGGATTAACCGCCACTTTATAATGCCCCCATAGCTGAAAGGTCGAGCATGTTTGGTTGAATGTGGATTTGAACTCGCGACCCTCAGATTGAGAGTCGAGCGCCCTAACCACCTGCCCATGCCGGGCCCGAGAAGTTTTGAAGACTTAGAAACAACTGCCAGAGCTAGGAATTTTTTCCTATGGTTTCTTTAAAAGTTCTTTTCTTTTGTGAAGATTGTTTGCATATTAAATTATACCTGTTTGAAACTACAGAAATTTCCTACATCAGGAAAGCCTAGATTAGGTTAATGAGTGAGGTAGGTGACGGCAAAATATTGTGGTATCTCCAATGCATTTTTACTAAATGTTACTTTTATGCTTATCTTATTAAAACAATGTTTAATAATATAGTGGCAAACTGGCTACTCAATTATTTCTAACTTCAACTGTGATACGTTTTAAATAAAAACATCACTATTACAAGCGATAGTAAAACATGTTTTAATTGTTTAATTAATACAAGATCAACGTAACAACAAACAAACTGGCGATCGTGGATGATTTGAAATTAGTAATTGTCGAGTAAGAAATGCCCAAATTATCTTTAACACATTTTTTTAAACAAAATTTGCAAATAATGAATGCCAGAAGATGTCTATCATATAAAACAAAGGATAGTAAAAGTGATTAAAAAAATCCCAGCTAAAAATAGGAAGATTGATTTCATGTGAAAGTAACAGATTAATTTAATTGATTCATGAGAAAAACAATTAATTGATTAGCAAATTACACTACATTCCCAGTTCTAATTACAATTCAAATATTTAATTTCTAAAAAACTAACTTCTTGAAAAACTGAGACAATGAGAACTTGGGTTTCTTCGGGGGTGGTAAACTACGTTTCAGGTGATCTGGACTTGGACTTAGGAATGAATACAGAGCTTCACTCTTATTAAGTTGGTCATCTTTCATCACCACCTGAAATTAAAATAGTCGTTGAAATC